ATATATATATACCTGTATACACACACACTCACTCACTCGTACAAATACTCATGTGCACACAACACACCACTCACATCTCACCCTTACATCATTTCCAACCTTGATCATTATTTACCCTCAACCCGTCCCCGCTTGTAATTGTTCCAAATAGAATCGAACCCTGGCCCTGCAGCCTACAGCCCTCTGGTCACTCCTAAGAAGCAAAAGCCAGCGTTCACCATTCAAGGAATCCGCAGAGAGAAGTCTCACATCCTGGGGCCGTACTCAACCATCTAGAAACTTCGCCAGGAGAAAGACAAACAGTGCCGGCTACTGGCCAAGCACCTCTTAATGGACGCTCCCTTTGTTTCCTTTCATTGCTCAATGTTCCTTTGTTTTGGTCAAAGTAAAGTATAGCCCGTCTCATCCCTTCGTGTCGATCACAGTCCGCTTATTTATTTCTGTTCCCGGGACTCCCCAATACCTTGTATGCAATACGTGAAAGGCCCTTTCAATTTTATAAGGTTTTTCGAGAGGTAGGACTTTCGAATTGAACGCCCATCTCAGGGGGAACCTTCGAGTTTAACGTCCTGTCTCAGGGGGAACCTTCGAATTGAACGTCCTGTCTCACGTGGAACCTTGGAATTTTACGCCCATTTCGCGTGGTACCTTCGAATTTAACGTCCTGTCTGTGGTAGAACCTTCGAAGTTAACGTCGTCACTTGGGTGGAACCTTCGAATTTAAGGCCCATCTCACGTGGAACCTTAAAATCTAACGCCCATCCCCGATAGGGTCAAGTCAATGTCCCAAAAACAACCCAAGTTAACAATGCTCTTTTGGGGATTCTATCCAACCAGGGCTATCCTCTCTTCTTCTTGTGATACCATTTTAGTTAATGGTGGGCCCTCAATGTCTTTGAACACCAGGACAACCTCAAGGCCACTGTTTCCTGTTCCTGCTCTTGCTCCTGCGACCTTGCTGTGACTCCGAGAAGGCACCACCTTAGCTCAGAATTACAAAGTTCTTTCTGCTCAGTACTCAGTTTTTAGAAATTTGACGTCAAAGATTTTGAGTTTCACAACGTGTCAAGCTTTTTCGAATGCAATTCTTTGAACATCTTGAAAACGACTCCGTATAACCTTACGAATTTGATAGAGCTGAGAGAATATTTGGTTTGTGATCTGAAGGTCTTAGTAACTCAAAACAGACAAAAATGTCAGACAAAATTTTGGAATTCTGAGGAAGCGTCCAGATATTGTTAACTAGATCTACGTCGAGGGGGGGGGTCTACTTTTTACCAGGTTTTCTTCTTTAAAAATCACAATAAGAATGTAAATAAATGAAAACATGACAACAAGACTGAATCCTGGTTCAGCTTTGGTCGAATGTAGAAAAAAACAAACAGCGTAACACTCATTCTCTTCAAGTTTTCACAAAAAAAGGCTATCTGTTGACTTAAGCCTTCATAAAATTTGCTTTTGCTTTTGTAAACTCACTGCAGCTCATAGCCTGGCGCCTTTTCACTCTTTTTTTTTTCCTTTCTCATTGACTCCAGTGTTGTGAATAATAGGTTATCAAAATTTAATCGGTACAGGAAAGTCAGCCCAGGAACCTTCGCATTTAACACCTATCCCACATGGAACCTTCGAATATAACCTTCGAATTTAAAGCCATTATCCGACAGACGCCGACGGTCCAATACATATTGTAATTGATTATTTGGACTTTGGCGCGATTTTGTTTTGGGCCCTTTAATTGCGGTTTTGGTCGTCAAATCTATCATGAGAAACCTTCGGTTTTGCCACATCAATTTGTGCGACACACAACACAGCTGTCTTTCGCTCTTCGCAGTATATCCTGCCTTTTCGTCTTCATTATGTTGCCAACAATCAAAATTCACAGTTAAAAAAGCAACAACAACAATTGAAAGGGAACAATACCCTGATAAAGATAGTAATATAGTGAAGATCAGTGCTGGTCAACCTTTATATTGCCATCGCAGGGATTGGGTGGAGGGGGTTAGAAACGGGGGTGTTTGTTTGTTTTCCTTTTTTTTTGAAGAGGGGTGACATTACATGTAATACGTTCTGCTAGACGTAAAAAAAAAAAGCCAAAGAATTTTTGCTTTAATTGTATAAACAGTAGTAGGTCTACTAACAATTCTACACGATATTTTAAAGTTGCGATCCTTAGAAACACACGTATCTTTGAAAACTGCAATCTCTTGCCTTCCACCCTGCAGAAAGAAGTAGTACACTGTTATTATCAGTATTACGTAGTTTTATGTCTATTATTTCGATAAATCATAGTATATAGATCATATAGTTTCGGTTATTGAAGAGTAGATTGTAATTTTCAGTCTTTTTAACCTTAGGTGGGCAATTAGCATTGAGTAGAATTAATGTAACTGTAGTTGTTATTGTTGATATTGTTACCGTATTTGTTATTGTTAACATTTTACTGATGTTATGTAGGGCCTCCTCCTCCTCCTCCTCCTCCTCCTCCTCCT